TAGCAGTTACAGGTATAAAGAGGGTGTTGCTGAACCTCTTTACACCTACAACCGCCTCTCCCAGGTTTCTCTTCAGGTTCCGTGGGCTGAGGCTGTCGGGGACTGGCTCAGCTATGGACCCACTTTCAGAGCTGCAGGATGACCTGACCCTGGATGACACCAGCCAGGCTCTGAACCAGCTGAAGCTGGCCTCCATTGACGAGAAGAACTGGCCCTCCGATGAAATGCCCGACTTTCCCAAGTCAGGTGGGCATCACTGGATCTCAGGCAGCTACAGGCACCTTAGATGGGGAGACCCCTTCCTGCTGGGGGAGACTCTGGGAGGGCAGATGGGGGCAAGCTGACCAACCCCAGCGTGGGGCCAGGAGCACAAGCCTTCCTGGGGAGAGGGCCCAGGAGCACAAGTCTCAGGGAGAACACTGGGCCAGCCTAGCCCAGACTCCCCCTGACTTTGCCATGTTCCTCAGACGACTCCAAAAGCAGCTCCCCAGAACCTGTCACACACCTGAAGTGGGATGACCCTTACTACGACATCGCCCGGCACCAGATTGTGGAGGTGGCAGGTAAGCGCACCCAATTTTGCACCTTTTTCCTCATAGTCTGCACTTCTGGCTTAAGGAAGCCAGTCCCTTGTAACACCGGGTAAAGGGAGGGACTCGGGGAGGGGCCATGCCCATTCTGTGGTCTGACCCCTGGCCCGGGTCTCCTGAGCACCATTCTTCAAACTCACCACTTGATTGTGGTGGCCACTTGGTCCGTTCACCTGCACCCACTTCCTCAACTGTGACCGCACTGTCTCCATTGGCGGATGGTCTGTGAGGGGCAGTGTGGCCCAGTGGCTTTGAAGTTAGAAAACCCTGATTTGATTTCTAGCTTTGCTCTCTGAACTCATTTCTTCCGGACAGGGCTGTTGAGAGAACTGCAATAGTGAATGTATGTCAGGGCCTAGCCCAGAGTACATAGCCCTGAATAAGTGGTCATTCACCTCCCTTTCCTCTGCCCGCATGCCAGCTTTCCTACTCCCTCAGTTACTGGAGAGCAGGCAGGTGCCAGTCCCTCCTACCTCCAAGGAAGTCGAAGTCAGGGGCCACATGACCCCGCAGCATCAGGTTCCCAGCAGGTGTGTTACCCTGTTGAGAATGGGTACAGAGTAGCCCCAAGGTCTGGCTTCCATGTGCTCCCACCCTCCTGTTCATAATGCAGTACCCAGAAGACTCCAGGGCCAGGAGAGGTAGCAGGGCTGTTGATGCCCTGGTTTCTGCCCTCAGGGTCCTACTGCTAATAGAGGAAATTAATTGCAAGATTCTTTGTCTTTTTCCTAATGGTTGTCCATCCTTGGTGAGGCCAGGCAGCTATAAGCAAGAGTGACAGCATGGCCCTGCTCTGAGTCACTGGAATGGGCAAGGAGAGCAGGGAGCCCATGGTCTCTGGATCCAGTGTGGTGCTGGCCGCGGGGGCTGGAGGCATCTGGCCTCTCCTCAGTGCTGGGCTCAGAGGTTATGCCTGATGTCAGAGGTATTCCCATGACATCTGTGTTCCTGGATCCTGCCCAGGTCTGGGTTGGGGGCCTTGGCTGTGGCCTCTCTCATCCCAACAGAAGCAAGGCTGAGTTCTTTCCTGATCTGTTCCTGACCTGGGCACAGGACAGTCCCCTGAAGGTTCAGAACTGTCTCTCCTCACTACCAGAGAGGCACCTGATTGGAGCATGGGGGGAGTGGGGAGGGTGCCTGACGTGAAGGAGTCTATCCTGACGTCCTCCTGGCCTATGTGGGCAGGTCACAGGAGAGCAGGCCGCTCCTCTCCCCAGGGGTGACCCCTGTGCCCCTGCAAGCAGAGCTGCAACATGTTTCTATTTCCCCAGGGTGTGATGAGCCTGAGGGGGCCCAGCCAGGTAGGTGTGCTCCTGGCTCTCCCTGCTTGGCCTCTCTGGGCTGTGGCCTCTGGGCTGTGGATCAGGAAGGGCTCTTGGGGCCGCTTAATTGCAGCCCCACTCTAGGGAGCTGGCAGTGGGCGGTGCCTGGGAGCCGGAAATAGCAAAGAATTATGGGTGGCAGCTGTGTAGCAATACATCCAGAACCTAAGGGAAAGGAGCTTCAGGGATGGCCGGGCCTTGTCCACAGAGGTAGCGAGGGGGTTGGCTGGCTCTGAGCAATGGCCTGGCTGCAGGCGCAGCGCCCCTCTGGTGGGTTGGCCCGCATGCCTGTGCCTCTCTGACTGCTGAGAGGAGTTTGGATTGGCACTGCCAGGGTGAGACCTGTTTGATGAGACCATGGTGACCAGCTCCTGCGGGGGGGCAGCTTCCTGGCATTAGAAACCAGACAAAGAGCCCATGTTGGAATGGAGGCTGGGTTATGTCCCCACCTCCTCTGCAGCCTGTCATCGCTAGCGGTGGCTGTCATGCTCCACTGTCACATTGAACTCAGTCCACATGGTTCTTCCCAGTGGTGTGCTGACAGACGTGGCCCTCCTGAAGGGGAAAAAAGGCTATTGTTTGTGCCATTTGAAATTTCTACCATGGCAGATTTCAAGCTACGAACAAGCTATTGAAGTCAACTGGCTTGCAATATTCCTGACAGTTTAACAATATAACAAATATATGAGCCGGCTCCAGGACTTTGCCCAGCCCCCACCTCCCTTCTCCTGGGCCTGCCCTGCAGGTTGTGGGCGGGGCTGGTGGCTGGCCTGGCTGCCTGCAGTTCCCAGAATGGCTGCTGGAGGAGCTGCTGTTGCTGATTAACACCCAGGCTACCCTGGGAGGAGAATTCTTGATCGGTATCTCGGGAATGCACAGGCTTCGTTCTCAGGCGGCTGGTCTTTTCCTGGTGCTTTCCACAGCGCTTCGTCTCCTCCTCATTGAGCCCTCCCCCCAGCTCTGGGAACACTAGTGCTGCCCGGCTCCTTCTGTCCCTTCAGTCTCCAGAGCAGAAGTCCACTCTCTTCTCAGATCAGGAGGGAAGTTCTGGGCCTTGTTACGTAGGTTTTTGGAGCAGCGGACACCCTGCCTGCTGGCAAATGCCTGGGTCACTGAAGGACTTGGGCGCTTGGGGAGGGTGGGGGCGAGACCCTCAGGTTGCCCATACCTCATTCCTGCCTGTCGGGGGTTCTTGCCTCACTACTCCTCCTTTTGTCCCCCACCTCCATCCTGACTTCGTTCACCCTTCCTTTTTTGAACATTTGCTCCGGATCGAGCCTCCTAGTCAGCACTGAGGATTCAGCGAGGGAAAATACACACTCCTTCCTACGAGGAGTGTCCAGTCCAGTGAAGTGGTTCTTAAAGCTGGTCTTTGAGAATGTGAAAAGTGTAGACCTGCTGCCCTAGAAAACACATGCATGTGCTTGTAATATTTTTCATATGACATCATGGCACTCACTGGTGGGTGCCCATTGGGGAGCCATGGTTGAGGATCCAGTTTCCCGTGTACAGGGTGCTGGGCCAGGCTTGGTGGATGGAGCACAGGCTCTGGTCCTTCACCCCAGTTGCTTGCTTTACCAGCTACTAGCTCTTCAAATTCCAAAGCCCAAGTCCTCAGGTCTGCCAGCCAGTGAGCGCTGCCTTACTGTTGGGGGCAGGCATAGAAAGAATCTCTTGTAATATCCATGCTCCTCCCAGGGTTTACCCCACATCCGGGGCATTTCCTGTTTAGAGGGGAGTAGGCAAATGATGTCCCTCCCTTCATAGGCTCATGGTAGGAGGCCAGGGGTTTCTAAAGCTCTAGATTGTACATGAGGCTGGGCTGGCCAGTCTAATCCTTTGCCCCAGTCTGCTCTTCCATCTCCTGTCAGATCCCATGGGAAGTGAATCAGAGTAGACCCCAGAGGCTGCCACTTCCCACACTGGCCTGGAAGGAACCCAACACCAAGATCTAGGCTAGGGTATGAGAGAGAGCAAGTGGTATCCAGTTCATCAAAATAGACCTGCTTCCAGATGAACTGCACCTTCTCCCCCTAACACAGGCTTGCAGAGGTTTCTCTGCCTGTAAGTCTGGAGAAATTCTGCCCCAGACTATGGGAAACTCGCTGCCTAAAGCAGTCTGATGACCTAGAGGTCATGAACAAACTCAAAAATAGAATGTGCATACTGTGTAGTTCTGACTGGTGTCTTTGTGCGGACTACCAGCATTTATTGAACACCTGCCACATGCTTGGCTCTGGACTGGCATGAAAGATTCAAAAATGGAGCTGCTCACAAGCCAGCAGAAGAGACAGGCACATAAACAGTTACACAGGAGAGTCAGAGCATCATGGATAATGGTTCATGCTTGAGCCATGAAAAGGGAAAGCTGACTTGTCTAGGGAAAGGAGGAGAAGACACAGGTTTCTAGAAGGAGATTATGCCCTGGATGAGTCTTAAGGATTCAGAGGAGTTAGCCTAGAGGAGGGGGGCAAAATTGTCTAGAGAAAGGTCTGTCTAGCATGAGAAACAGCCTACTGTGGACAGGGCTGCGAACACTGTTGTGTCAGATGTGTGCACAGTGTGAGCCTGGAGAGGCGGGAGCCAAGCCTGGACAATCCTGTGAGCCATTCCAAGGAATGTGGCCGGCAGGGACCAGGCTCACTTTGCCCACATTCCAGAAGCCTCCTTCAGCCTCTCCAGAGATGCTGGCCCCAGCCCTAGAGAACAGAGTCAGAGCCTTGGCAACCACTTTGAAAAAGCGCTGACTCCTGAGTGAAGTCACTGACCAAGAAGCATCATCAAGGTCATGGCTTATTAAATACGGAGAAGACACTCAGCAAGGCCTGGGGGATCCTTAGTCCTCAGAGGGAGATGGAGGACAGACTCTGCACTTCATGGGTTGTGTCAGTAGCTTTCTATTCGCCTCCGAAACAATCAGGGTTAGGCAAGTGTGGTTTGGAGCTCTGCAAAAGCATGAGGGTGGAGCCGAAGGGAAGGTAGGGACCAGGTCTTGTCCCCATTGGTCTTTGCTTGGGGTTCCTGATCCATGCTGACCTGGAAGAACATCTCACTTGTAGGGAGGAAAAACATATGTCTCAGGAGCTCCTTGGTTTCATGACAAAGTCAGATGGTCAGGCCTTCAAATTATGACTAGCTTTGGACAAACATCCCAGACACATAACATCCAAATGAACATCTTCCCACAGCGTTACAAACTCCTCTCAATTTCACGTTCTTTGGAATATCCTTAATGAGAAAGGATATGATTTTTAGAAATGTCCAGAATTTAGAGGCAGGTGTGGTTAATAATTCTAATAAAATCAGAAAGTGTTGTTAGTGGTCAGAATGAGACTACTGTTGCCCTGGCCAGTTGCTCAGTGGTTAGAGTGTTGGCCTGCAGACTGAAGGGTCAAGGATTTGATTCTGGTCAAGGGCACAGTCCCTGGCCCTGTTTGGGGCACGTGCGGAAGGCATCCAATCAATGTGTCTCACATCAATGTTTTCCTCTTTCTCTTTTCCTCTCCCATCCTCTCTAAAAACCAAAGGAAAAAATATCCTTAGGAGAGGATCAACAAAGAAAAAGAAAGAGAGAGAGAGACACTATTGTATAATCAGGCTGATTTCCTCGGTGAGGTTTTCCAAATATACACTGCTTAAAGGGGATGCTTCTGAAATAAGTGTGACTTTTCAGGTGACTCCTTGGCAAGACAGTTGCTTTGAAGGATGTGACATAAAATTAGCCATTTCTAATTGTACAATTTGGTGGTATTTAGTAGTCACAGTGTTGTGTATCTCCATCTCCATGTACTTCCAGAATTTCACCCATACCCATACAGACCCCGTACTCATAAGCAGTCAGTCTGTTCTTGCCCTCTTCGGGGTCATGACAACCACTAATTTGCTGTCTTTATGGATTTACTTATTCTAGATAACTCGTGTAAATGGAGTCACACAATGTGTAGCTCTTGGTGACTGGCTTCTCTCACTTAGCATAATGTTTTCAAGGTTCATTCACAGTGTAGCATGTATCAGTACTTCATTCCTTTTTATAGCTGAACAGTATTCCATTTATGGATATACTGCATTTTCTTTACCCATTCATCCGTTAATGAACATTTGGCTTGATTCTATCAGGTGTGATTTTCTTTTTTTTTCAAAGTCCTGTTATTTCTTTATACCCCAGCCCAGTATCCCTGAGGGCAACCTGTCCCTCTTCCTTCAGCGACACCCCCTCAAGTGCAGGCAGCTGCCCAGAGGTGCATCTGCATGGCCTGCTCTGACCCTTGTCTTAAATGGTATAGGTCTCCAGGCCTGCTACCTTTCAGGCCCTCAGCCTGCTTCTCTTGGTTCATCTTTCACCCACCATGCTCCATCTTCTCCATATCTAGGAGATGACAAGTATGGACGGAAGATCATTGTGTTTAGTGCCTGCCGAATGCCTCCCAGCCACCAGCTGGACCACAGCAAGCTCTTGGGGTGAGTACCCAAATGGAAGGTGGTGGGACCTGTGCCCAGATCCCCAGTTTGGCCTGATGTTGTTTTCCTTATTGTCCCTCCCTGTGTGGGGCCATCTCCCTCCCTGCCTCCCTCTCCTCCTGAGGGAGTCAGTCGTGGGCTAGGAGTTTTTAGTCCTGGAAAGTGTGACCTTGGCAAGTGTCTTTGTCTTTTTAAGTCTCTTTTTCTTCACTTTTCCTAGGGAATATTCACACAGCCCTCCTTCATTGCAGGAGTGAAGATACTGTGTGTGAAAATGCTTGGAAAAGTAAAATCCTGTCCAAATGTGAGGGCTAATCTGGTTATCCAATGTGGTTGTCGTTCCCCATTATGTGCACAAGTCGTACTATCTTATTTGGTGCCGTTGGCGTCTGAACCTGCCTGGATACTGTTGGCTTTATGTATAAAATAGCTCTGGTTAGTCTGAAATCTGCTGCTGCAAGGCAAGAGGCTGATTGAAAGTGGGGGTTTGAATGTGGCGGCCACGGGGAGGTTCCTGCCGGGGTCTGTCACCTGTGTCTGTTGGCACCAGGCACAGCCATGAAGAAACAGGAAAGATTCCTGTGTCCGTGGAGCTCACAGTTCTATTGAAAGTGGGCATTTCCAGAATTGATCGGCCTTACCGTTGTCATTATAGTAATGCCTGCTTCATTGCCCTGGTTCAGCTTCCTTCTCAACTTGCCTGTTGCCACTTGGAGTACATGTTGGCTCCTTACGGTGCCAGTGGTGACAGGGGGTGCTTCCACTTGCGCTGTTTCCTCGTGTGCGAGTATAGTGTGGTTTTAGCTGCGGGGAATGACAGGCTGCAGAAGCCGCGGTGGAAGTCAGCCTACACTGCAGTGCCATTGAGGAGCCAGGGGCTGCTTACATCATCCTTAGAACCAGAGCGTTTATTTTCCCTCTTCGAACAAAAAATATGTTTGCTGTAGTTTTACCATATAAGGTACTTTAAAAACATGAAAAAAATAAAAAAGAAAGCGGGAGTTTGACAAGCCTTGTTCCAATAAACATTATTGAGCCACAGCTGCCAGCCCAGGGCCCACAGCATGGGCGGGACTCCACGCCCTACTGTGCTCCTCACTGTGTGTACAGCTATGATCTCGCACTTCTTCCCTGACCAGTTGAAAACACTTCCTGAAATTGGAAATGTTTGCACTGCCCATACCACCTCCTTGCAGTTCTGAATGGCTCTGTGCCTGTAGGGTGTGGTGAGGGTCCGGACAGCCCAAGGGTACAGTAGCTGAAGTGGGAGGACTTGGTTGCTGAGTCTCTGTAGCCCGAGGGAGCCAGGGCCAATCCCGAGTCTTCAGCCGTGTGCGTCTTTCTCTGGCCTCCTGAACCCTCCTCCCACCAGCTCCTCAGACAGGCAGTCCAAGAATAGGCCAAGGAGCTCAGCCTGAGGGTGACTGAGTCACGGGTCCCTCCACCCCCTCCGCCTCTTGTTTTATCACATCTGACAAGGCAGTGGAGAGACTCCTGGCCAGATAATAGCCCAAAGGGGAGGAAGTCAGAGGGTGGGGATGGGAAAGCACTGGTTTTCAGGAGAGAGCCTGGTGGGTGAGGGGCACCCACTCTGGGGCTTGTCTGGCTCCAGGAAGCCCCCTGCCATCCTGTCCTCTGTCCCACACAGATCCCCCCCCGCCTACCTGACCTGGTCACAGTCCCTACTGGGAGCAGAGAGGCACGTCCATCAGAGGTCAGGCCTGTCCTCTGGTTGTCAGATTCTCTCTAGCTTGGCTTTCCCAGCTGTCACCAGGTCTCGGGGTTGAAGCAGAAAGTGCCTGCACCTTGGATGCAGAAGCCCGATTAGACTTCGCTCTGCCTCTTACTAGCTGTGTACTTGGGGGTGGGTCTCTTCTGAGCCCCATAAAAATAAGTGTGCCCACCTCACAGGGTTGTTGTGGGCATTAGATAAGATATATACATGAAATGCCACTGTATCCATTTGTAAAGAAAACTATACACAACTGTACAAAAAAGTCGCTCCTAAATCCCATCACCCAGAGAGAAAACCACTATTAATATTTTAGTGTATTTGCTTCCTATTTTTTCCTATAACATATACAAGGCTCTGTAGTCAGTTTTGTATCTTATGTAATGTGTTTATCGTCTGAGCATTAAACATTCATCAAAGACATCCTTTAAAAATTTTTATTGACATATGATATATATACAGAAAAGTGAACCTTATGTGTACTTTGATGAAGTTTGAAAAATTGAACCCACCCGTGTCAGCCCCTCCCACAAACCTCCCTTCGCTCTTCTAGTCACTACCACAAAGGGCAACCACTGTTCAGACTTCTCACTTCACAGATTGGTTTTGTCTGTAGGAGCATCCTGTGAGGTATTCTATTTATAGATGTCTTGTGATTTATTTAACCAATTCTCTGTTGTTGGATAGCTAGCTTGCTGCTCAGTTGTTGCTGTTTTTCCATTGTAAAACAGGCTACAATGAACAGCCTTCTACAAAAATGTTGACGCTGCAGGTCCTCTAGAAGATGTTCATCTCTGCTGCTTTCTTAGGGTCAAAGAGTAGGAACATTTTACAGCTTCTGGTAGATAACACTTTATTGCCTTCCTAGAGGTCGTAACATCCATCAAAAGATGAGTGTATTTTCACTACAAGTATTGCTATTTTTTAGTTGCAAAATGCCATCTTTTCATGTGGAAAAACTTTTCTTTGCATATTGTGAAGTGCTCAGTGTATCTAAGGGGTAACGTATTGTGTAATAATAGTGATTGGGATCAGAGTAGTAATTCATCCCTAGATACTTCCCTTGCCTGCCTGTGCTGGCCGAGCCTAGCACCCATGGACCATTGCGTAAGTTACCTTCTCTGGGGTAGATCAGGAGGTACCTGGACACTTAGTCGCATCCTTGGGCACTTTGGTTCCTTTCTCCTTTCCCCACCCCCTTGGAAGCCCCTGTATTTCCTGCCTCCCAGCCTCCAGTCATGATCCTGCTGAGGCCTGGGCTGGCCACCCAGAAAGAGGGCATTCCACTGGATTCCTTCCTTTCTGGATTCCTTGTTCATTTTCTTTATATTCTCCACCTCACGGGGGCTCCACACCGTGTGTGCTTCTTTTGGAGTGGTGGATGTGTTATGAGCATAGGGAACCTGAGATGTGGCTCTTTGGTCCACGAAAGCCCAGTGATTGGAGCAGGGATGGGGACCCCCTGGCCACCCTGGTCCCCTCTCAGGGCAGTGTTTTACAGCCTGTGCTAGGAATTCAAGTATAAGCGGGAGAGCTGCATTGTGGCCAAGAACGCAGGCTTGCCTCGCTGGTTTGGCTCAGCAGACAGGGCCTTGGCGTGTGGACTGAGGGTCCTAGGTTCAATTCCAGTCGAGGGCATATGCCTGGGTTGCAGGTTTGATCCCAGTAGGGGGCATGCAGGAGGCAGCCGATCAATGATTCTTTCTTATCACTGATGTTTCTCTCTCTCCCTCTCCCTTCCTCTCTGAAATCAATAAAAAACAACTTGAAAAAAAAAACCAAAAACACAGGCTTTGGCATTAGATAATTCACCTCCAGGCTCCACCATAAACTGTGACCTTGGGTATGCACTTGACCTCTCTAAGCCTCTTTGCCCTCGTGTAAGAAGGGGATAATATCAGCCTTGATTGTTACAAGGAAGGCATGAGATATTAAGTGCTTGGCAGATGCTAAAAGCTTGATATTGATAAATGGTATCATTATTATTGATTTGACGATCCTGTGAGGGAAATGTTATTCCCGTGTTTACTGCAGTTATGTGAGAGGGCTCCAGTTAGAGTCTTGTCAGTGCTCAAAACTGAGAGCTGTTATCATTGTCCCGCCCAGCCCCAACCCCTCCACAACAGCATGGCAACTGCTGAGGCAGCCAGGATGGATGGCTCTTGGGGAGGGGGTTTGATATAAGCAGATTCCTGGGGCACCAGGTTCTGTCTTAAAGGGCCCCATCTGTGTACAGGGCAGGCTGAGCAGGTCTTTTCTCTTGCAGGTACCTGAAGCACACCCTGGACCAGTACGTGGAGAGTGACTACACACTGCTTTACCTGCACCACGGCCTGACCAGCGACAACAAGCCCTCCTTCAGCTGGCTCCGGGATGCCTACCGGGAGTTTGACCGAAAGTGGGTTGGGGCCCAGGGGTGGGCTCCAGGGCCTGGAGCAGGTGGCTCTGGAGTCAGCAGCTCTGCCAGGTTCTGGGCTGCCCTGTGCTTGGGCAGGAGCTTATTCCATGCCAGGGGAAGTCAGGGTAAATGCAAAGAATCAGAAGTTGGAACTGCCTGGGCTCAAATCCGTTTCTCTACTTACTCATTCTGTGACCTTTCATGTTACTCTGAGCCTCCGTTTCCTAATCTGTAAAATGGGGCAGCAATGATACTTTGCAGGCTTGCTGTAAGGAGTGAAATCAGAAGATGTACATAACATACTCTGTGTCTCCCGTGCCACACCCACTCCTGAACTCCCACTCTGCCTCCACAGGTACAAGAAGAACATCAAGGCCCTGTACATCGTGCACCCCACCATGTTCATCAAGACCCTGCTCATCCTCTTTAAGCCCTTCATTAGGTGAGCAGGCCGAGGGCGGGACGGTGGTCTCCCCAAGCTTCCCCTTGAACTCTGAAGCAGATGCCAGAGGAGGCCAAGCATCCTGGGGACACCCCCTTTTGGGGCTAGGCCTCTGTCTGACCTGGCTGGGCTGCTGAGGGGACAGCGGAGGCCTGCCGAAGCCGGGGCGCTCCCCAACCCGTGCCCTTTCCTCCATCGGCAGCTTCAAGTTTGGGCAGAAGATCTTCTATGTGAATTACCTGAGTGAGCTGAGCGAGCACGTGAAGCTGGAGCAACTAGGGATCCCTCGCCAAGTGCTCAAGTGAGGCTGGGCAGGGGCTGTGTCTGCCCACTGGATGGCATCTGTGTACACACGTGTCACGTTGGTGGGGTGGGGTGGGGTGTGCCGGCCAAGGGGAGAGGAAGCCTTGAGAATCCCAGGATAAATAGGAAGCAAATGTAACGATTGAGAGACAGCACGTGAGGAGAGAGTGTGAGTTCAGATTCTGTTTCTGTCGAAGCATTCTTATCGTCGTCATTACAACGGCCGGCTATTTTTAAATAACATGTTATTTGCAAATGAAGAAAGATGCAGCATCTAGTGCAGCCGTTCTCAACCTGTGGGTCGCGACCCTTTGGGGTCGAACGACCCTTTCACAGGGGTCGCCTAAGACCATCGGAAAACACATATATTGTTTTTGTGCTTTAATTATGTTCAATTTATAACAATGAAATTGGGGGTCACCACTACATGAGGAACTGTATTAAAGGGTCGCGGCATTAGGAAGGTTGAGAACCACTGCTCTAAAGACTTTACATTCTCCTGTGTAACTGGGTTGTTACATAAATCCAATGAACTAGCTAGCCTGTGTAAAAAAAAGCCCAGGAAGTGCCTGACAAATGGGTTATCGTAGCGTCTACAGAGCCAGGCAGAGGGCCTGACTGTCCCATCTGCTCCCCAGGTATGATGACTTCCTGAAGTCCACACAGAAGAGCCCTGCAACAGCCCCCAAGCCCATGCCCCCACGGCCCCCACTGCCCAACCAGCAGTTTGGGGTCTCACTGCAGCAGTGAGTATGGGAACGGGGCACCTGGCACCTGGAGCCCCGGTCAGGCTGTAGACCCTGCTCACTGCCCTTGTGCCCACAGCCTCCAGGAGAAGAACCCAGAGCAGGAGCCCATTCCTCTCGTGGTCCGCGAGACTATTGCCCACCTGCAGGCCCACGGTGAGTGCCAGGGCCCCCCTGCCCTTACGACCTGCTTAGGGTCCCCCACCCCCTCAAGAAGCTGCCAGGCATGGCTGGGAGGTCCCATGCGCACCCGCACTTGCACTGACCCTGACTGGAACCCCCAGATGGAATGGTGGGGAGTTACATGTGCCCCAGAACTCTAAGGCTCACCAGGCCCCCTGTTTCCCAGCTCTCACCACTGAAGGGATCTTCCGAAGGTCTGCCAACACCCAAGTCGTACGGGAGGTACAGCAGAAGTATAACATGGGTGAGTGGTCCCAGGGGTGTCCAGCTCACGTGTGGGCGCTGGGGTGGAGGGGTTGGGGGCAGGTGTGTGACTGTTAGGGGCTTCCCTGCCTTTTGCTGCCCTACAAACAAGGGTCCCAGGCTCTGTTTCTGTCAAAGGTTCTATGGCATCTGCTAAGATAACATGGTACCTCTCCCACCTGGCTGTTCCAGGCCTGCTCCCTCATTGGTCAGGCTCTGGGTCCTGGGTTCAGGGTCATTCGGAGACCAGGAATAACTGTGGTGGGAGTCCCACTCCACCCAGATGGCCTGAGTCTGCATCCCCTTGTCATAAAGGAAGAGGTGATGGCAGGTGCAAGAGGCTCTCCTGGAGGAGGCCGTCTGAGGACGGTCGGGCAGTGGGGCTTCCCAGCTCCCCTTCACCTTCCTCCCCACCCACCTCTAGGGCTGCCTGTGGACTTCGACCAGTACAACGACTTGCACCTGCCAGCGGTCATCCTCAAGACCTTCCTCCGGGAGCTTCCTGAGCCCCTGCTCACCTTTGACCTCTACCCTCACGTAGTGGGTTTCCTCAGTGAGTGCCCTCTCCCATCCCAGGTCTGAGCTGCTTCTGCTGGTCTGTGCTGGACTCGGAGCAGGCGGGTTTGGTTAGGGTCTCCACCCTGGTCTTGTGCGAGGGCTACCTGAGCCAGCCAGCCTTGGGCCCCTGTAACCCAGGCCCCCATTCTTCATAGACATTGATGAGAGCCAGAGAGTGGAGGTGACGCTGCAGGTCCTCCAGACGCTGCCCGAGGAGAACTACCAGGTGCTTCGTTTCCTTACTGCCTTCCTGGTGCAGGTGAGTCTGCCTCTCACCTGAAAGGGGGGAGGAGCACCGGCCCCTGCTGCTCTGGTAGCCGGTTGCAGGACGTGGGAGCTGGGTCTGTGGGCCTGCTGCAGCCCTGATTTCCCTCCACAGGTTTCTGCCCAGTGTGACCAAAACAAGATGACCAACACTAACCTGGCCGTCGTCTTTGGCCCTAACCTGCTGTGGGCCAAGGATGCTGCCATCACTCTCAAGGCCATTAATCCCATCAACACCTTTACCAAGTTCCTCCTGGACCATCAAGGGGAGTTGTTCCCTACCCCTGGCTCCTAGGGGCTCTGAGCACAGCCCCTGCCCACCAGCCCCCTTCTCTGATAGCCCTTCCTCTGGGAGCCCCAGTTTGGACTCCTGCCCAGGAGGGGGTCATGAGGCCCGAGAAGATGAAGCTGGAGCCAGCCAGCTGGGCAGCTCCTCCTCCCCTTTCCAGTCCACCTCGCCGGCCCTGGAGGCCTTGCTGTTACCATGGGACATTTTTCTTCGCCTTATACTTCTCCTGCCTCCTTGGATCCCTGGTTCCTGTGGGGCTGTGCAGAGCTGGCCCTGGCCCTTCCAGTGGGAGAACTGGCTCCAGCAGTCCTTTCCTGCTTTCTCCTGCCTCTTTCCACTGTCAGCTGGGATGGTAGCTGGGCTGATCCGCCCCCTCCTCATTGCCGGGGAAATGAAAGGCTGAGCTGACTTAGGCAGGCCCTGCTGAGGCTCCTCTCTGTCTGGGTGAAGGCCTGGGTGCAAGCCCCCTGCTCTATCCTCCCCTCAGCATGGGTACCTCCACCGCTAAGGAATTCAGCCTGGAATCTGCTTCCTGTTTCTGCCTTTTCTTCCACGCATCCTGGTCAGCTTTTCCCAAGTGGCACTGCTCCCAGAATGTTCTAACCCCTGCTTCTGCTTGGACGCAGCTTAGATGACATGGCCGAGTTCTTGCATCCATTAGAGATAGATAGCACCCCGGGTACCTGAGCAGGGGAGCAGGCTCAGCCTGTATGCCTTGTCTAAGGACAGCCTCTAGGCCAAAGGCTCTTGCAGTCCTGTGTGTTGTGGAGTCACACTGGTCTCTGCTCTGGCCAGAGATGACTCGGTGCCTCAGGATCGTAGTGGCTCCTTCCTCCTACGGGGGGCTCCTAAGGGGCTGGGCAGAGATTTTGCTAGTTAGGTCTAGCAACCTTGCCCAGGGAGTGGGAGTCCCAGGCCCTGTTGTCTTTCCGACAACCTGGACTCCAGTGATGATGGCTGTCCTGCATTCCAACTGTATCCTTTCTAATTACACTCCTTCCTGGTGAACACCGAGATCCCCCGCCCCCCTTCCTGTAGTCGTGACTTCTGGCAGGAGGGAAAACCCTGAACAGTGACCCTGTCCCCACAGCCGTGGCCAGAGCCTAGAGCCTGACCATGGGGGTCTTCACTGACCAGCCCAGCTCCTTTTGGGCACTCTCCCAGGGCACTGGTGTGTCAGGACTCCCGGTACCTGACTGCCTGCTGGTTCTGTTAGTCCCTGTGTCTCTAGCCTGGGTACAGGCCTGTGCTTCCTGCCCTACTTTGTGCATCAGGTGTTCACAGCCCCTTATCCTGGGAGCCTATGGATCTATTTGGTCTTCCCCTTCCCCTGCCCCATTGGTCGGTGGGGACTGGGGGAAGGGCTTGTACTGTGAATCAAGTGTACACATTCACACTTCATGAATTCCTTGGCATCAATCATGTATCTCACCTCTGCACTTTTTGTATTTCAATAAAAATGGAGATGGAAACTGCCCATCTGACTATTAAAGAAGTGGGCATGGAGTTTCTGAACTGGGTGGGAAGCGTGTGGCTGCGGGAGAGCAGATGGGGCCTCAGGAAGTCCCTGCCCAGTCCATCTGACCCCCTTCCTCATCTGGTTCACGTGTGAGTGGGCATGAGACCGTCTTCCAGGCTTAGAAGTGTGAGCAGTCACCTGACCACGGACTCTCCTGTCCCCCAAATGGAGTGGGCTTTGGTGGACAACAGCATGGGTTTTAGACTCAGACAGGGTTTGAATCTTCGTTTCATCGCTTGCCACCAGCTCTCACTGGTAATAGTAAAATTGGCCCCACCTCAGACCATTCCTTCATTTGAGGACCAGAAATAATGTGCACAGACAGTGCCCTGTGGTAACTAAATGACCACATTTCCCAGGTGAACAGAGTGACAGTCCCACCCTGCGCAGCAGCTGGGATTGAAGCCCTCGCCGGGCACCCTCTGAGAGCCTCCGTTCCCACCTGCCATGTCCTTTCATGGAGCCATGAAAGGTCCCATTTTCCTTTCCTCTTTTGAGGTTTTGCTTTGCTTTAGTTAAGATGGTAACATTTGTGTGTATTTTATTGCAATTTTCTTAAAAAGTGGTTTGTCACTATGAGGGCAGGCCAGAATCTCCCTTGGCACAGTGGTCAAGGTCAGGTTCCAACAGTGAGCTGTTTGCCTGCCAACAGCAATCAGGAGGCCGTGCGGCCTCAGCTGGGCCTGTTCTGTTTTCTCGTCACTGCTTGCTTGGGCTGGGGGAGCTGGGCCAGAGCTGCAGGATCAAGCCACTTTGTCAGGATGGTGGTTATAAACACTGGCACTGAGCTCCAGGAAGCTAGTCCCCTTGCACACTGTGGCCCTCGTCCAGGTAACTGAACAGAAGGCATTGGCGGCTTCTCAATGGCTCTTCTCTGCTCTAAGCTGGGTGACTGTTTAGAACACAGGGGTGTGACCTAGGGCAACGAGGAAGGGAGCAGGAGATGGAGAGCTGTTTACTTGGGTTGGGCTCCTGGCAAGACCTCTGCTGAGTGACTCAAAAGCCAGTGTACCTCGGCCTTTGCAACAGCAGGTCTCGGGATGGGTTGGAGGGATATGCTTTAAAGGGGTAGGACATGAGCTTCAGACCTGGGGACACTGAACACTTTGCTTTTGGGGGATCCCAATTGAAGGTCAGGACACCAGGGAATGTTTGCTGCCATTTCTAACCCAGGCTTTCGCCAACTCTATCCTGATTGGCTCCATTGTGTGCAGTTTACAAACCAGCGAGGGTTCCCCAGCCTATTACAGTGGGTGGGCCCCATTCTTTTCAGCCCCTCGTTTGGGCTGAAATTAGAATTTTCTAACTAGCCTTTTGCTGTCCAGGGGCCTGCCTTCAGCCTGAAGGGCTCCGGAGGCAACCCAGACAGCAGCTGCCTCTGGGACACTGGCTCCACTCCAGCTCCCTTCCCCCACTGGGGGCACAAACTGGGAGGCAGGGGGCTGCTTGGCCAGGGCTGAGATGCCTGCTGCAGAAGTTCCCAGGGGGCCAGGCAGGAATAATCCCCAAAGAGTCCACCCCAGTGCCCTGGGCAGCGACACAAACTGGCATGAGCCCTTGACTCCCTGCTACTCACCCAACCCCTTCCCTTCAGTCTGGTTTGCTCAGCCACAACCCCACACACTGATCAGCAAACAGATCCAAGGCAGCTTGGGGAGCCCCACACCCCCTGCTGGCTTCTGCTGGAAACATGAAAGGCTGTCTGTTATCTTTCCCTTCTAGCCAGAGGCCAGCCATTGCCTCCAGGCGAGGCTGCATGGTGAGCGATGTATTGCAGGGGAAATAGAGCTGATGAGACTGGCCTACATTTTATGGAGATTCTACTGTGAGTGTGCTTAACATGCACACCCACTCCATACACATCACCTCACTGAAGCCCCGAAATGGGACATTACAACCCAGGAAAACGAGGCTCTAAGAGCTTTCCTGACCAGCCCAGGCTTGTACCGCTGAGAGGTGGCCACATGCCTGGAGTCCAAACAGCTGTAACTGAGAAGCCTCTGAGCGTCACATGGCGCCGTTCTTCCCTCCCCTGAGCCTGTGGTTGACCCTGGCCTGCACAGAAGTGGGAGGCAGTGGGCTAGGATTTTAGACAACTTGCAGGACAAGAAGCTGTAAAGTACAGAAAAGAATTTATTGGAAATCTCCTGAACACATTTTAGAGTCTAACTCAGTATTTCCAAACCAGGTAGGCTGGAGGAGGGAGGGACTCTGCCCCCTGGAGACAGATGGCTGGTCCCAGCCCCGCCCCCCAGGGCTGCAGAAGTCGGTCTAGGCTCACACCTTTCATTGTACAGGGCTGAGGGGCAAGGGCCAGCCTTGACCATTGCTTTGCTCCTCTTTGGCCTCTCACTGATGGGGTCCTGAAGAAAGGTTGCTGCCTGCACAGGCCAACAATTAGGACATCAAGGCCAAAGGCTTTGACTCAGTCTGTGCACTCAGGACCTTCCACACTGGCCTCAAATGGGCAGTGGCTGAGACATTGTGGTGGGTTAGGGGGAAGGAAGGCAACAGATAACTTGCCATGGGCCTCCACCCTTCTCAGCATGGGCCGTGAGGATAACCCACTGGGCTGTGGATGGCCGCAGGCC